CTATCTATCTATCATCTATCTATCTATCTATCTATCTATCTATCTATCTCTATCTATCTATCTATCTATCTATCATCTATCTATATCTAATCATCTATCTATCTATCTATCTATCTATCTATCTATCTCTATCTATCTATCTATCTATCTATCATCTATCTATATCTAATTATCTATCTATCTATCTATCTATCTATCTATCTATCTATCTATCTATCGATCCATCTATCCATCCATCCATCCATCCATCCCTCCATCCATCTATCTAATCCATCCATCCATCCATCCATCCTCTCTATCCTTCTGTCCATCAATCTATTTATCCGTCCCTCTGTCCGTCCGCCCTTCCATCCATCCAAGTTGTGTGTGTGTGTGTGTGTGTGTGTGTGTGTGTATGATTTCCTGTTTGTGTGTGTGTGTGTGTGTGTAACTGTCATCTGCAGATAACACCGGGCTTAAAGAGGCGAGCGCCTGCATTGGAAGGAAACGAATGAGGAGAGTACTAGAACAAAAGCGTTCGAAGGGACATTTCGAGGTCATCTAGTCCAGCCCCCTGTTCAAGCATGCAGGAACTCCTAACCGGGAGAAATCCAGGATATTTCTCCCGATATTCCAAATGGCCTTCATGACTTCTCTCGGGCTGTTTTGAGAACTTTTCAAGTTGTGTAATATCGAAGGAGAAGTCAGGTCGCTTCTCCCGCTGGAGTTGAGGGGAGGGAAGAAATGAAAGGGAAAAAAAGGCCTTTTCGGGGTGGGGAGTCGGGTTGGGGAGGGTCTGCGAGAGAGTTTGGCCAAGGAACCAACCAAGGATTCTCCACAAAACGCGCCCTGCACCAATCAGCTGCGTTTCAGAACTGCCGGGACTTCACCAGGGGGCAGCAGGCTCCGGAGCCACACGTGGCTCTTTCGTCCCTCTGCTGCGGCTCCCTGTCACTCAAAATATGTGTCATAACCGCCAATGTGCGACACCGTCTGGCACGGGGTTTATTGAGGTTTCCAACCCCCAGTAGGCCCACCACGGATAAACCCAAGAAAGGAAAAAATTCAGAAGAAAACAGAACGTTTAATTCAACTATATGTGCTAGTTCTGTGGCCGCTCAGGAAATCGTCAGGCGCGGGAAGGGTTTCTGTGGCTCCCGGAGTTTTCTCTTCTGTGGGAAACGGGTCCAAATGGAGTGTTTAAGGTTGCTGAGCCCTGGACTACACTTCCCATCACTCCCAGCCGGTTCGGGGCAAGGCCTTGCTTCCCATCACTACATCTGTTACCATTTCTACTGGTCTTTCTTAAATCGCTTCTTTTTTTTTTCCTCTTTTCATTTCATGGGTGGTGGTTTCACACGACTTTTCTTTCCACTGAATTTGGGACCCCGATGTTGGGAAGTGCGAGGCCAGTGGGGGAAGCAAGGAAGGAAGCCGGAAAAGGAGTTTCTTTTTACTCACCTTCCATTTGCACGACAGTTTCGTAGCTCAACACGGCATCTTCTCGACCTGCGGAGGATATGTAGGGAGCACAGTCAAATGGATCTTCCTGGCGAAGATTCTCCCCAGGTGCAACAACTCATGCCAGGAGAAAGAGACGAGGAGGAGGAGGAGGAAGAAGAAGAAGAGGAGAGGAGGGGGAGGGAAGGAGGAAGAAGAGGGGGAGGAAGAGGAGAAGGAAGAGAGGAGGAGGACAAGGAGGAGGGGGGAAGAGGGGAGGAGGGGGAGGAAGAGGAGGAGAAGAGATGAGAAGGAGGATAAGGAGGGGGAAGAGGAGAGAAGGAGGGGAGGAAGAGGAGAAAAAGAGGAGGGGGAGGAAGAGGAGAAGCAGGGGGAGGAAGAGGAGAGGAGGAAGAGAGGAGGAGAATGAGGCAGAGAGGGAGGAGGGGGAGGAAGAGGAAGAGAAGGAGGAGGAAGAGGAGGAGGGGAGAGGCGAGGGAGGAAGAAAGGAGGAGGAGGAGAAGAGGAGAGGAGGTGGGGAGGAAGAGGAGAAGCAGGGGGAAGAAGAGGAGGAAGAGAGGAGGAAGAGAAGGAGGCAGAGAGGAAGGAAGAGGAGGGGGAGGAAGAGAAGGAAGAGGAATAGGAGGAGGGGGAGGAAGAGAAAGAGAAGAAGGAAGAGGAGGAGGGGAGGCGAGAGAGGAAAAAAGGAGGAGGAGGAGGAGAAGAGGAGAGAAGGAGGGGAGGAAGAGGAGAAAAAGAGGAGGGGGAGGAAGAGGAGAAGCAGGGGGAGGAAGAGTGGAAGAAAGGAGGAGGAGGGGAAGAGGAGAGGAGGAGGAACAGAGACAGCAGAGAGAAAACAACTGCAAGCAGGGAAGTAGACGGATGGAAAAGGAGTGGGGGGGGGTCTCCCAGAGTGGACAAAGGAGGAGGAAGGAGGACCTCAGAGACCAACACCCACCTTGAGAGCCTGATCCAGGGCCCCGATCCTGGAGGAGGAAGGAAGGAAGAGAAAATAAGGAAGAGACAGAGAGGAGAGGAAGAGAAAGGGAGAGGATGCGTGAAGAGGCCTCCATGTCTGTGTCTGCAGACGCGGGAGGGGCGTTTTCCTCCTTAAAACAGGGGGATTCTGGGTGGGGAGCTTCTTCCCCAGGACAAAAGGTCTCCCTTGGCCCCATCCTGAGGTCCTCCAGATGGAGAGAAAGCCCACCGCTCTGCCCAGCAGGTGTATAGGATCCTGCTCAGATGCGCTTGCTCCACAGACACTAAACTTCAATTCCCAGAATTCCCCAGTCAGCAAGCCAACAATGACAGGTGTTACAGGGAGTCCTTGAGTTACGGCGACCGTTGGGACCAGGATTCCCACCTCACTTAGCAACCGCAATCCTTGCAGTCCCACATGAGGTTGTAAACTGAAGCACAGCGGCCGTTCGGCTCCACTCCCAGGAAGTTGGGAGGAAGTTAGTTGGAAGTCCCGGGTGTTTGCAAGGAGGTAGTAGGGAGGTAAGTGACTGATGCACAGGCGTGTGTGAGTAGCAGGGGGAGGTGTAACAAGGATGTGCAAGGTCGGAAAAGGGTATGGTGGGACTGAGGGAGGGTCTGTGAGGGTGTAAGGACATGGTGAAGCTTGGGAAGAGTGTGTGGGTAGTTGGGAGGTGCAGCAAGGCTCCGGGAGGGTGCGTGCGTGTTCAAGAGAGGCATGATGAGGCCCAGGGAGGGTGTGTTAGGGTGTGCAAGAAGGAAGGCAGTGCAAGCATGGAGGGTCAGTTGGGGAAATTAACATGAGTGACTTGCAAGTTTTCCTACTGTCTTCCCCAGTGACCTTCTGGGGAAGCCTGAGGGAAATGTCGCTGGTGGCAAACACATAACTCTAGGGCCCTGCAACCAGTTGTAAATGCGAGCCAGCTCCCAAGCGTGCCGAGATCACAATCGTGTGACTTCATAACGTAATTCCGAACGGTCACTGGATGAATAGTCGTAACTCGAGAACTACCTGTAATCAGACAGGGTTTGGCCGGATCCCAGATTAATTGCTTGTCCGTATTTCCAAGTTATCTCTCAGTCTTCAACTCTTGACAAACACACACACACCCCTCAATTATGTCGGGGTCCTGAACCTTTTCAAGGCCAGGGGTGGACTCACCTTTGCTTTTAACCGCGTCCACTCCCGTCGCTCGACCCTGCAGAGAGAAAAGGAGGATCAGCCGGGGACCCCGAAGCCTTCCTTCTCAGCCCCCCCAACAATTGCCAAAGCACAGATATCTTCTCCGACAGCCCAAGGTCACCGGCCCCACCATTAAAAACCAGCCCAAAATAGCACGAGATCCCCAAATCTCACCGCTAAGAATGGAGCATCTTACAAGATTTCCGCACAAATCTTACAAAATCTATCAACTGTCAGGCCCGCGGCCATCTTTTCTTGTGGGTCTTTGGCCTGCCACATTTTCTATTATTCTACTGTGTATTTTCTATGGTGGGAAAACGGGATTGTACGGAGTTAGACGATAGGCAGCCATAACAACATTCTTTCTAGAAAACCAAGGTCATCCTTTGTTTCTGCAGCTCTGCACCTGACCGGAACTGGATGGGGGGATTCTGTCTTTGTGGCAGTGGGAGATTGGACCATGGAATGGACTTGTGGGTGGGTGGGGGGGCAAGATCATGAACTTTCAACTGGGTGGGGAAAACCGGGAAGCTCCCAGATTCGGGTTTCCCCCGATGTGCCAACACGGCTCTCTTCATCAATGGGAACTTTGAGCGATACGATTTTGGGTCTCAATTGAGAGAGACCACAAACCGCCAAAATCTTGTAGGGGATTTGCAAATCCTGGTGCAAGAATTTGGTGGCGTTCACACAAGACCACAAATATGTTCCGAGACTGGACAATTTGGCCGCAATCAGGGGTTGGATTCAGCCGGTTGGGACCAGTTGGGGAAAAATCGGATGCTAATTTTACATCTGTCTCCCCCGGCAGTTGCAATGACTGGCTGGCCACCCCCTGCCGCACCAAGGAGTCTCCACGTGGCCTGCTTTGGATGCCAGGTAAGTGCAGGCTCCAGGAGGGCGAAAAATGGGCCTGGCGGAAGTTCCAGAAGTCAGGAAACGGGCCTGTGTTTGGCCCCCCCTCCTCACCCTCCTGGAGCCTCTAGGCAAGCTTCCGGAGCCTAGGGGGGGAGGTGGGTTGCTACCGGTTCAGACTGGTTCGGCCGAGTAGGTAGTAAGTCATCCTGCCACGTCCGCGAACCGGTTCTATTGTCAGCGGCGCCATCTTGATTTTCGGTTCGGATTTGCGTGCCGAACCGGCAATAGTGACGGTAGCAACCCACCCTTGCTGGGAAGGCCGAGTAGGCCAACATGGCCACGCCCACCCAGCCACCGGGCGGAGTACTGGTTGCTAACATTTTTGAATGCTACTCCTGGCCACAGCCGAGCCCATTTTAACTCGTGTGGCTCCTGAACGCCACTTGTGAAAGTCCAAGGAGAGGCCTCCCCCTCCCCAAAGACCCACCCCTCCCCCTTACCGCCTCTTGCTGGGAATGAAGCCAAGCTCGTCACTGTCGCCATCCGGATGGACGCGCCGCGCCTGCCACCACTCCTCGTCGGAGGCATCGATGACGTGCAGCACGTCGCCAAAATGGAAACTCAGCGCTTGGCTCAAGAAGCCACAATCCTTGGTCTTGTCGTAGTCGAAGAGAGCCCTGTTTGGGAAGGGGGAGGAGGGCATTATAGGGGGGGGGCAGGGGGGGCGTGCAGGCGAGGAGGCCGGAATATCCCGGAATGCGTTACGGTCCGCCTCCGAAGTCTCCCCGTCATTGAAAGTCGTTGGATGGTGAGATAGCTGGCATTTCAATTTAATAAAGGAGTTTAAAAGATTTTTCGTTCTTTTAAATGACCATTTCTGGTTTTGAAAGGCAGTTTGGTCTAGTGGTGAAGGCACCAGGCTTAGGCACCAGGAGACGGTGAGTTCTAGTTCTTCGTTAGGCATGAAAGACAGGTGGGTTAGCTTGGGCCATCCCATCAGGAAATGGAAAATTATAGGCTCATCTTAAGCGTGGAAGCTACCTAGTGACTTTCGGCCAATCACCAGCGCCTTACGCATGATAGGCAGCTGGGTGACTTTGGGCCAATCACCAGGAGACGGTGANACCGCGGTTTTGACGGGTCACACTCCCGAACAACCTCGCAGACCTCCTAGGAGCTCGCCTCCACTCTACTCACTGTTCCCTCAGATCAAAACGGGGGAGGGAACTGTTCCTCGTTGCGGGGGGGGGGGGGGATTGGCTGCAGACAGGCAGCAGGGCTGAGAGGCAGCCCGATCCCCTTCCCCACGTTGGGCACAATTGCAGTTAGTCGTACGTCAAGGACTAAGCTTTATTTATTTATTTGTTTGTTCGTGATTTAACTTAAATTCTTTTGCTGCCCATCTCATTTCAGAGCAACTCAAGGACTAACCTGATTCCCTCTGTCTCGTTTAAATGGGCCAGTCCTGGAAGACCGGGGAAGGCTCAGATGAGGGCTCTGCATCGGAGCGAGACAGCAGTGAGGCAGAGGAACAGCGGGAGCCTGTTCCCCGTGTGTGCATGCGCAGAGTTGCCAGGCAAAGGGAGCAGCTAAGGAACAAGGGTTGACTCGGGAGGAAGGTGGACGGTGAATGGCCCCTCCCAGAGGAACTAAAAGAGTGGAGTGGAGTTTGCAGGAGACAATCTGTTTGTTCGGTCGTTAGATTCGTTTCAGGAGTGTGAAGATCTGTCCGTGAATCTCAGGGACTCTCTGCCAAGCCTTTCCTCGCACAGTGGGAAATATTGACATGGCAGCTTTCCAAGACAGATAAGGTCGGTGGTGATAAATACTCCTTTGAAAGACTGTTTGACAGGCCTTGGCTGAAGGGGAAGGAGAGGAATTCGCATTCGTTTAATAAAAGGGGGTTTTGTCGGGACCAGGAATCTGCCTCCTGCTTTTTGGGGAAGCCGAGGTCAAACCAGGACGGCAGAGTGCCGGGGCTGGTGGGTGAGCTTATCCGCGATTTCCACACACGGTCCGCGCGAACCAGTCCAAACCGGCTGAATTGCCACCTCGGGAGCTCTGGATTCGAACTTACCTGAAAAGCATTCTGTAAACTCCTGCTCCAGCTTGGTAGCTCTGTCGAAGGCTTTCCGCGCTTGCTCCTCCGTTATCCGCTTGTTAATTTCTCTGGGGTCACAAACAGACATTCGGCACATGAAGAACCTCGCAAAGTCTCACGGGGCGCCTTGTTCCCTCGTTCCTTTCCACCCTCGGCTCTCTGCACATGGGCAGAGAACCCCACTGGAGCTCCTCCTCCTCCTCCTCCTTCTCTTCCTCCTCCTCCTCCTCCTTCTCTTCCTCCTCCTCCTCCTCCTT